AATAAGATTGGCTTTTTGAACTAATTGACATGCAAATGTATGCTTAACAATATCCTTGGTAATGAGATTTATAGCATGTGCTATACATCTAAGATTTATAATATGTTGATATCGATTTTTAGTTAATTTTTGAGCAAGCTTTACATTAGATCCATTATCGCTAATAATTGCAGCCACTCTTTCTGGTTCAATTTCTTCAATAATTTGCTGAATTTGTTGTGCTAAAAATTCTCCTATATGTAAATAGTTTGAATAGTCAGCAATTCGATAAATATATTCTTTACGATTTGAAATAAGAATTATAAAACACCATAATGATGTTTTATTTAGACTTGTCCAACCATCAATGCAAATTGTTAAATTAGAAGTTGACTTAATCATTTGTTCTATTTTCATATTAACTCGAGCTACTTGTGTATCTAGTAAACGACCTAATATAAAATTAATTTTAATTTGTTAAATATAAATTAAAAATTATTTATAATTAGCATTAAATTTTACCTGCTAATACTTCACATGATGGTGGATTATATTCTGGACAAAGAACTTTGAGAAGATGGACAACAAATGAATTTTCAATAATATTAAAAGGTAAGCCACAAGAAACAAATGCTGCAATTAATAATTCATTAATTTCTATATTGCATGGTTCTGAAAGTTTCGTTGATTTAATTTTTTTTTCTTTTAACTATAGGTTTAGATAACTTGGCTTTCAAATTAGCCTTTGGCAGAATGGAATAATCTTCAACTTTAGGATCATCAAAAAGGTTATTTGCAATAATATAATTATAATATCATCTAATATGTTCAGGACAATTTGGACATTCATATGCAATATGAGCTCGAGTTCTAACAGGCTTGGCACGTTTAAACTCTTTATTACAATGTATACATATTCCTTTATAAATTCTTCATATTACTTCTTCAACTAGCTCAATTTCTTTCCAAATACCCGTAAATTGACGTCCAACAGGTTCATTTGTATTTCCATTATCAGAATCACTACTAATTTCAACCTGATGTTTTTTTTCTTTAAAATTTTCAGTCATATTTAATTTTTAACAAAATTCGCAAGATCAATTTATTAATATTTATATGTATGTAAAATATAAATACATGTATCGATATAATATTTAATTTATAAAGTATGCAAGTTAAAATGATACTAGTAATTATATATGTAATATTATAATATCAATATTATAACAATGTAATTTCATTATACACGTAATTTCATTATATCATAAATATACTATAACTATGCAATATGATGTTATTATGATATTGCGCTATTGCAACATTGCGACACATTTGTAATTTGCAGCAAATGATCATTTTTAAATATACAATTTGTTATTAGGTTGCAACCCTAGTTGCGCTATAAAAAAGTCGCAATTCATATTTGCAGCAAGCAACACTAATTCGGGTGGTAGAATTTCAGGCAGTTCGATAGACGAATAACGCTAAGGGAATCAACAAATTCCAATCTACAATGTTTTCCATGAGCTTGGCGATAGCTTCCCACAGAGTCTTGTTGAAGCGTTCAACTAGGCCGTTAGTACAAGGGTGGTATGATGTAGAAAAACTTTGCTTAATTTTCAGTTTTTCCAACAGGTGCCTTATTAGTTCATTTCTAAAGTGCATCCCATGATCTGACAAGATTTGATTTGGGCATTTATGGTGATACACTATATCGTCATAGATGAATTCTGCAACAGTTTAAGCATCTGCTTTCTGCATAGCACGTGCTTCTGGCCAATGGGTCATGTAATCGGTGGAGACGATGATGTATTGATTCATCCTAGGGGTTTGTGGCAGAAGGCCAATGAAATCTATTTCAATTTTATGAAAGGGCACAGTTACTGGTAGCAGGTGTAGGGGACCTTGTTCATGTAATCGAGTTCGACATTGACATTGGTCACATGTCTGGATGTAATAGCATATATCAACATACATTTGGGGCCAAAAGTATGTATTACAGATCTTCTCAAACATAATGTTCTTGTTAAAATGTCTACCTAGCAGGTGTGTATGCGTCAAAAACAAAATTGGATCAACTTCATGTTGTTGCAAGACTCGTAATAATCTTTCTTTATTCTTTCAGTCTTTCTAATACAAGAATTCATCCTTGAGGTCGAAGAAGGTGCTCTTTTTCTTGATTCATTGTTGCTGGGCTTGGTCGACAGTTGAAGGTAGGTATTGCTTTTCTATATATTGCTTCAATTGCTGATAGTAAGTGGGATCCATATTTATAGTTTTTTTTTTTTTTTTTTTTTTTTTTTTGTACTTATTTTATTTGATCTAGATATATATATAGTTATATACCCGTTTGTACTATTGTTATTTTGTCACCACTTATTAAAATATTTAATGAATTTTTTTTTTTTTTTTGATTTTATTTTTTTCTATATATATATATATATATATATTTATTTATATTTTTTTTTTTTTATTATTATTATTTATTTATTTATTTATTATTTCCTTTTTTTTTTTTGTTTTTCAATTGTTCTTGCTTTTGCAATAGGGGGGCCAGGACACCAGTAACCTGGTCTGGATTTTGTTTGATGCAATACCAGATTTTTTTATTTTATTTTATTTTATTTTTTTTTGTTACTTAGTCCTTACCTTTTATTAATCCTTTTTTTTCATTTTTATTAGCAGTACGACAGTGCATTTCATTTAAGGGTTCTCTAATTTGGGATAATGCATCCATATTATTATGGATATATCCACAACAGTAAATGATTCTGAAATTGTAAGGCTGCAGCCTTAACACTCAATGAGCTTGTCGACCACTCAACACAGAAGTTTGGAGCCATTTCAAGGCAGAATGATCGGTAACCACAACAAAAAGGTTCAATCTGACATAATGATGAAAGTGCTCAATCACCTAAAAGATTGCAAGACATTCATGTTCAGTGGTGGTGTAATTTATTTTGGCCTTAGTTAGTCTAAGGCTTGCATATATGACCACGTACTCATTACTCTGATCGTCTTTTTGTGCCAACATGGCACCTAAACTGAACCCAGAAGTGTCTGCATGAATTATGAATGCTTTATCAAAATTCGGGTAGTGCAAAATCAGCACATTGATAAGATGTTGCTTTAATTTATTAAAGGTGTCATCTTGATCCTTTTTTCAATCGAATCTGACATTCTTTTGTAATAGCAGGTGCAAGGAGCATGCTATAACAGTAAATTTGGGAATAAACTTCCAATAGTACGAAGCTAACTCCAAAAAACCTCATAATTCTCAAAAAGACTGGAGAATAGGAAAGTTACGAACTTTCTCTACTTTTTCTTCGTCAGGGTGGATGCCTTCTCTACCGATGATGTGACCTAGAAATTGCAAGTGGGGTTTAAAGAAAAAGCACTTATCTGGGTTTAATTTCAACTCTACACTTCTTAATTTATTAAAGACAGCAACAAGATAGTTAGTATGGTCCTCAAACATTGGCGAATATATGATAATGTCATCAAGGTACACAATGACGAATTAATCCAAAAATTCAGCCAACACTTCATTTATCATACATTGAAATGTGGCGGGAGCATTCGTCAGGCCAAATGGCATTACCATGAACTTGTAAGTTCCAAAATTCATAACGAACGTGATCTTTTTCCTATCAGTATCCTTTACACGAACTTGCCAGTATCTAGATAGCAAATCTAACATTGAAAACTAAGCAGCTGATCCAAAAACTTCTAAAAGGTCACCAACACAAGGCAGAGGAAATGCATCCTTTTTTGTAACTGCATTAAGCTTTTAATAATCGATACAGAGGCATAGTTTTCCACCCTTTTTTGGCACAATGACCACAAGATATGCCCACGGGCTGGTACTTTCTTTAACTAAACCTTTCGCTTTCAACTTTTTGATTTCTTCTTTTATAAAGCTATGCACACTAGAGGCAGCACAATAGGGAACTTGCTTAATCAGGAAGGCACTTTTAGTGTTTATTTCGTAAACGTACGCTGATGTTTGTCCAAGATCGTCTATGGTTTCAGCAAAAACATTTACTTTCTTACTTAATATGTTACTCACATGGTTCTTTTAATTATTTGTTAGGGCTTCATTGTCAAGGTTCTTCTTTAATTTTTCTATTGCGTTTTTTTTTCTTCCTCAGTTTCCTCTACAGAGATGCTTTCGATGCCAGACAAATACACAGCAGGACTTTCATGGTCAAGCCACAGATTGTTGTACAACTTCAAATCGCTACATTGGTTGGTCAAGAACCCTTCTGCTTTATCTAAATCTTCATCGTCAAATTTGAAATTGTCGAATGGGTTTTCATTATCTGTTTTTTGCAACTTCTTAGGCTCGACTTTTATTGCGAGAGGAGCTGGTAGGATTTCTCCTTCATAAAACATGGGTATTTCCACGAATTTACTCTGGCATTGCACATACAGCTTTTTTTCATCAGCATGCAAATAGCACCAGTTTGACGAAACCAATCCATACCCAACAAGAAGGTCTGTTCAGTTGATTCTATGATTTGGAAAGTGGTCGGGACCACTACACTACTCATGACCAACTTAAGGTCACTTATTTTTCTGAGAGCCCTTACCCTGGCTCCATTTGCAATGATGACCATTGTTGTAGAAGGTTCATTGATCTTCAACTACAGTTTTTCCACCATTTTATTTGACATTATGCTGACAGTGGCACCTGAATTGAGCACAGCAACTACAGGGTTTCCTTTAATTCTAATGTGACAATGAGTGGCAGTGGTTCTTGCAATTGTGGGGGCTTGTACGGTCATTACTTCCATATCGGTTAGTTCAGGGTCCTGAGTTGTTATGAGTACTAAGGGCCTTTTTATCACATTCGTCAGATTGCATTTTTGATCAGAATATTGCAGCATTTGAACCAACAAAACATTGGCTTTTATATTCAACAAGTTCTGCATAATGTTATATAGTTTTAGGTTATCGACTACTGAAGGTCCTCTTTTCCTACAAGGTACTTGTAGGAGATCCACTGGTATAGGTACTGCTAGGGCAGGCATTACTAGGGCAGGCATTATTGGAGCAGGCATTATTGGGGCAGGCATTATTGAGGCAGTTGTTACTGGTGGGTTTTTACTTGACAGGGCCATGGCAGACACAATTTCAGAGGCCTGGTTAGGACAGGATCCTTTATTAACTGGCATGGGTGCTATTTTCCTATAGTGGCTGGGTCTTTGAGTGGTGTACAGTTAATGATGAATGGCAGGAGCAATAAAGGCTTCATTTTCATCAATGTTTTCATCTTGTTTGTTGACTATACTTATATGATTGGCATCCCTTAGACAGGGGAGAATCTGGGTTGGTGTTGTGGCATGATTTACATGAACTTGAGGCTGGACTTGAGGTGTCACTCGATTTTGTGTTTGGGGCCGATTTTGGTTTTGAGTTCTTTCTGACATACAATTGCATGAGATATGTCTAGGTTCTCCACAATTGTAACAAGTCAAATGGGCATTGTTATTGCTGTGATTATCATGATTACCATGGTTGCTATAATTATTGTTGGTTTGGGGTCTTGCTTTGAAATACATGGCTAATGCATTTGTCAACTTTTTATATCCAGTGGTTAGTACTTGCATTTGCTATGATAATCAGGTGACTTCACTGTCGTATGTTTTGTTCTTTCCATATTCTTATTGTAGTATTCTTCAGCTTCAATTTTACAGGCACCTTGTATTGCAGCATCCAAACTATCAGGGTTTGCAATACCTAACTATGCAGCGGTCTTGGCCTTGAGGCCATCTAGAAACATTTGTATGACATATGACCTGAGAAGCTGGTTCCTGGGGTCCACTTTTCGCAACAATTTCTTGAACTTGTATGCATACGAATCTACTTGCTCTGATGGCTGCTGTTTTAGTTCATTTAGATCGACCTGCCACTTGTGTCATTTTTCAGAGGTCGTGAAATACTGGATGAACAATTGAATGAAACTTTCATCTGGACAGGTTTTCCTATCCCAATATATCAAATTATTCTTTACTCCATCGTGCCAACTTGCGGCAATTTCATATAAGTAACCAGAGGCTATCTTTATCTTGCATTCAGAGAACTAATTATTAGCATTGGCTGCATGATCGAAGGCTTCTACCTACTCAAGAGGTCCTCTTCTTTGTCTTCATGAAAAGTGTCCACAAGGACTAAATTTGTTTTACAAACAGGAGGTCTGGCGGCAGTAGCAACTTCTATAGTCGTTTCTTTAAATCCAGCAGTGATTTCCTGCAAAATTAATTTCAGAATGTCTGGTTCTTGTGCTTGGACTTGTCTTTCATTGTTGGCTTGATTGTCTCTATTTGGCAAAGGGCTATTCGCAGGCATATGGTGACTTTCAAAGGGATGGTTGTTGTCAAAGATCAGTAAATCGTGTCTTTAAAAACATTAGAAAAAGTCCTATAATCGTTGGATTGCTGGGGGTTCATAATTCTAGTAGGTTCTTATAAAAAAAAAATTATACTACTTTTTTTTTTTTTTTCTGGATTTTTCTTGTTAAGGTAAAAAGGTGATTAATAATCAGATTTTCACTCTTATTTATATTAAAGTTGGTGTGGGATCTATAATAGGGCACTCTAATAATGAGGTAATTATGATCGCTATTGTTGTAGATCTCTTATTTGTTTGTTAAGTATTATTAACTGATTGGGAGTTTTTTTTTTTTTTTTTTTTTTTTTTTTGTATGTAATAATGAAAGAAAATTATATATATTTTTTGTTAGTGACTTGTACAAGGGCTTCTATTAAGAGAAGTATTGACTTCTGGTTCTCTTTTTTTTTTTTGTTATTATTATGCTAACGTTTTTTTTTTTTTATATCTTGACTGAAATTTCTTGTGATAATTTTAATGACAGAATATCCTGCATGGTTTGTCGAGTAGGGTTTTTTTCCTTTCATAATTGATTACAACAGTTTTACAAATCTGGACACGTCTGTTTTATGTCCACAGGTTTCATCTTCACTTTTAATCTTCCAACAAGTAACTCAAACATAGTCGACTTGAACTGGGAGGTTGGTACATAGTTAGGTCAGTAGAATTTCAGGTCTGTTTTTTTTTTTTTTTTTTGTGTTTTGTGTTTTTCAAACATTGGCTAACAAGGTTTTGGTCATTATGATCTCACAGTCACCACCAATTATTGTAATGGGTTTAATGGACGAGTTCAGAGATGGGGCAAAAGCGATGAATTGTCGCTAAAAATTCAGTTATGCTGTATAACGTTTCTCAAAGATAACAGAGGCAGTTTTTTTGATTTGGCACAAGGTTAAGGCGATTTTAAAGGAGTGTTACAAGATAAGTGTTACGAATTTAAAAAAACATGGGTTTATTTTACAAGTTAAAAGGATTTTTATTAACTTTTATTAGTATTTTGTAGGGGAATACAATTATATTGTTAAGGACTATTCTGGACTATGCTGAACTATTCTAAACTGTATTGATATATCTTTCGGGAGGGGGAAATTCCACCCTTTTTATAATGAATTGAACAAGAAAAGAGCCCATGCAAGATCAAAACTCTTTTCATTATTATTAACACTTCCCAACCTTATTTGTTATAACCTTTAACCCCTTCTACACAGTCTTTCGTTACTTTAATATTTTTTACGACTTTAATGAAAAATGTTTCAGTTACTTAATCCTGAGGCCAGAACCCCATCATATTGTCTTCAATCGCACCTCCTTGACATTGTCTCACACTTAACCCAAGTAGGGCAGATGAAGTCAATGTCCATTCCCAGTGCAACAGGTTGATCCAAGTTGACCTTACTTTAATTGGGGGGTGGTTGGGTCCCACATGGAGGCTTGTGTACTTTCATATGGCACCTTTTTGGGGCCAGGTGCACATGTTTCAGATGGATCATCATGGGCAACTCTATTAGGTAAATATGCACAATGACATCCATTTTGCAGACTCTATGAGGTGTCGGTTTTACTTCTGACACCATCATTATGTATTATGGTGATCTGTGGATCTTAAATATTGCAATGTATCAATGATCGGTTGAAAACATTTTAAACCCAATTGCAAATTTAAATCTTAGTGGACATACTGCAACATTAATAAATAATCATATGTTCGTTGCTTTTGGAAAAATTTAAATTATTTTATGTTGTTTACACAAAATACTGTTCTTGATGGATTATCAGTGCAGTTTCTGGAATAACACATCACTATCAAAGTAGTAAAGCTACACTGTAAATTTAGAAGCTCATTGCTCCCAATTGATTGTAAGGCCAATACAATGTCAAGATCAATTTTGTAAACCAAACACTAGTCATGACTTTAGCATTCACATTGTTATGAGAAATCAGTTTTAAAGTTTTAAGAGCCCAATGTTGATTTTTTTTTATCTTATCAAGAATGGTATTTTTGTGCTGTTTATATCTTCATTTATTTAAACTTCTAAACCTTTTATTTTTAACAGGTCAATTTTCAAATAACAGTTATTCATCAAATGTATTTATACTAAATATAAGCCAAAAAGATTCTTATAGATGGGTTACTGAATTCACTTCAAATACTACAAACACTACAAATCCTACAATTTCAAGTAATCCAAACAATGCAGACTTTAAATATACTGGCTTAATTATTGGAGCCATCACTAGCAGCATCATTTTTTTAGTAATATTTGTGATTGCTATTATTTTAACTCTAAAATTTGTTGATCAATATAAAAAAAGTTAATAGTTTTCTAACTATGGTTATTGTAACCACATCTTGTAAAGCCAATTAAATCTCAAATTCAGATGCAACGTAAAATAGGATAAGTATTATTTAATCTTCACTGAGCACCTATGGTGTAGAAGTAATATTGAACAATAATTATTAATCATCAAACAATCATTTGTGATGTGCTGAGATTTTGGGTAACAATTATTCATTTACTAAAGTAATAGTATACAATTTATTTTATTTAATTATATATTGATCTACATTTTGCATAAATCATGTTCTTGATATTTTTATAGATTATTAACACTAAAAGCATTAAAAAAGTAATCATAACTTTGGAGATGGTTTTATCTATTGCTTTTAAATAGTAATTTAAACATGATAGCATGATTTTTTTAAAAAAAATCAGTTTCTTTGGAATTAGGATTTTTATTCAGTACTACGTATAGAACACAAAGGTTTATAGCTAAAAGTCTCAAAGGAGTTACCTTACATTAGATAGTACAACTAGTCACATGTACATTTTTGGTATCTAATTTAAGTAGTCTATTTATACAGGTTCTATATTAGTTGTTAATTTGCAATCCAATTATGGATATTGTTTATTTAAAATTTTCGTATTGTAATTTTTTTATTGTATTATTAAACTATTTCTAATATATATACAGGTCAAACAAATAAATAAAAAAGAAATAATAAATAAATAATAAAAAATTGTTATTATTTTACTTTATTTTTGTCAAATAATAGTAATATAACAGTAGTATAACAGCAGAATAATAGTAAAATAATAGAAGGTTTGTTGATATGAGTAACATAATAATAACATATTAACAAAATAATAAAACAATTTTATTATTTTACTTTTAGTTATAAAGATTAAAAATAAAATAATAGAACTGTTTTATTATTTTGTTAATATGTTATTATTATATTATTTATATCAACAAATCTCTTGTTATTTTATTGTTATTTTATTGTTATGTTGCTATTATATTATTATTATTTGGCAAATATAGAATAAAATAATGACAAATTTTTTATTATTATTTATCTATTATTCATCTTTTATTTATTTGTTTGATTTGTAATATATTAGTTAAAAAGTTTAGATATTTATTCATATTTTTTAAGATGTTCATTTTATTTCATATAATTTATTTTCAAGAAATTATTATTAAGATATAATAGGGATGGGGTCCTGTAGCCTAGTGGTCTAGGCACCCCTTCCTCCACAGACAAGGTCGATGGTTCAATTCTAGCTGGAGGCAAACTCTGTAATCTACGGAAGCATATGAATGTACGTGAAGCCCTGTGGCTTAAGTCCATGTGAATAGAAGATCAATATATAAGGAAGTTCCTGAAAAGAAGTTTCCCGATATGGAGAGTTGGCGCTCGATGTGAGAGAAGTGGTGAACATACCAGAAATGGTGTAACAATACTATAACTTCTCTTTAATTTTTCTTTTTCATTATTTTTCTAAGTCTTTTCTTAATTATATGCTAATTACTATAATTAATTTAGCTATATTT